CTTTTCTTATATGCACTTGAAATTTTCAATTCTGTCTTTGTCTGTACATACTTTGGGTCAGACTGTTTGTGACAGGGCTTGCTATGCAGTGCAGGCTGGTCTTGATCTCAGTGTGATGCCCAGTATGAGCTTGAACTTGGGGTGATCCTCCTTCCTGTTCAGCTATGTTACTGCTGGGATTGCAGGAAGGCATCACTGTGCAGCTTAACATATTTTTTGTTACCCTTGTGTTTTCTTATTTCACTCACTCATAAGTTATTTTTTACAATAATCGTAAATGCATGGAGATTTTCAAGTTACATTTTTTCTGTCAGTGTCTAGCTGCAATGCTTTGTGATCAGAGAATACACTGTTCTCCACTTATTGAGTGCTTGGAGTTATAATCATTTTGGGTAAATATCTCATCTATTGTTATATTCTACAAATACTAAGCATATTCTTTCTAGGCATTAGTATTTATATTGGTACTAGGAATCAAACTTTAATGACCTCACTTTTCCAGGCGGGTACTGTATCACTGAGCTATATTCCTGGCCTGGGGATGAGTCTTTTTCACCACATCCTCGCCAGAATCTGTTATTTATTATTTGACATCTTAATCATAGCCATTTTTTCTGGAGTGAGATGGCATCCCCATGTTTTTTTAAAAAATTTATTGGGCCAAGGATATAGCTCAGTGGCATAGGCACTCGCCTAGCAAGCACAAGGTCCTGATTTCAATTCCTGGTACCCAAAACAAAACAAATTTATTTATTGTTTGTTTGTTTGTTTTAGTACCAGGGATCAAACTTAACGACCTTGCACATGCCAGGCAGGTGCTTATGTTGCTGATCCAAATCCCCAGCCCTCACCAGGTTGTTTTAATGTAATTTCTGTGATGACCAAAGCTGTTCAACATTTTTTCATGTATTTATTGCCCAATTTGTACTACTTTGTCTGAGAAGTGTCTAGTCATTTTAAGTGTCCATTTTGTGATCGAATCTTTTATTTTGGAGGGGTAGTCTGAATTCTTTTTTTTTTTTTTTTTTTTTTTTTTGAGTTTTTTGTGTATTCTGGATATTAGTTTCTGTCTGAGGAGTAAATGGAAAATTTCTTTTTCCTATTTGTAACTTGTCTCTTTGCTCTATTGGTTATTGACTTTGCATGCAGAAGCTTTTTAATTTTATATAATCCATTTGTTGATTATCAGTGTTATTGCTTGTTCATTAAGTTCTGTTTAGAAAGTTCTGACCTGTGCCTGGGTCTCCAACAGTTTTACTGATTTTATCTTCCTGCACATTGTTCTGTTTTAATATTTAGGTCTTTATTCTGCTACATTGCTGAGTTTGTTAGCATTAGGAGTTACGATGCAGTTTTTAGAATTGCCTGTGGAAAGGATCATGTTGTCTGCAAATGAGGATAATTTGACTTCTTCCTTTCCTCTGTGTATCCCTTACGTTTCTCTTCCTTCATTGCCCTGGCTGAAGTTGCACATGCTGTGTAGAACAGGAGCAATGGCAGTGGACATGCTTGTGTTGTTCTTGATTTTAGAGGAAAGGCTTTCAGTTTTTCTTCATTTAATATGTTGGCAGTAGGTTTGTTATGCATGGCTTTTATCTTAGTCAGATAAAGGTCTTCTATACTTGCTTTCTTCAATATTTTTATCATAAACAGATGTTACATTTTGTCAAAGGCTTTTTCTGCATCTACTTAGAAGATTATGTAGTTTCGTTATTGCTTCTGTTTATTTGATGGATTAAATTTATTACTTTGTATATGCAGAACCATCCTTGTATCCTTGAGATGAAGTCTACTTGATTGTGACGCATGATCTTTTGGTGATTTGATGCATTCTCTTTGCCAGTATCTTGTTAAGGATTTTTTTTGTCCATGTTCATGGAAAATGATTGGTCTGCAATTTTCTTGTTTAGTTGAGTCCTTATCTAGTTTTAGAATCAAGGTAATGCTAGCTTCCAGAAATGAATTTGGCAGCACTCCTTTCTTTTTAGTTTCATTAAAGAGTTGGTGTTGTACCTTCCCTGAAGTTCTTGTAGAATTCAGCAGTGAATCCATCAAGTTCTGAGCTTTCTTGGTTGGTAGAATTTTTATAACTGACTCAGTTACACTGCCTGTTACTGGACCATCCATGGTTTTGTGTATCTTTTGATTCAGTTTTTGATTTATATGTGTCCAGAAATCTATCCATTTCTTCTAGATTCTCCAATTTATTGGAGTAAAGGTTTTTGAAATCTTCTGGATCACCAGTATCCATTGTGATTTTTTTTTTTTTTTGCATTTCTAATTGCACTGATGTGTTTCTTTTTGTAAACTTTGTTAAGGACTTGTCTATGTTTATTCTTTTGAAGAAGTAGCTCTTTGTTTTATGGACTTCTTTGTAATGATTTTTTAGCCTCGAAATCACTAACTCCCACTCTGATCTTGTATTAGCTTTTCATTTGGATTCTTCTTGGTTTTCTAGAACCTTGCAAGTATATCACTAGGTTATATACCTGGATTCACTGTGGTTTGCTGATATGGGCTTTCACAGCTGTAAATTTCCCTCTTAGGACTACTTTTCTTGGATGCTCTATGTTGTGCTAATAACATTACTGTTTGATTCTAGGAATTATTTAATTTCTTTCTTGATTATTTCTGTGATCCATTGAGTATTCAAGGGTGTGTTATTTAATGTTGTCCAGGTGTTTGTAAAATTTCTGTGGTTCCTTTTACAGCTTTGTTGATTTTCAACTTTGTTGCCTTGTGACCTGATAATATAATGAGATCATTTCAGTTTTTACATTTATTTAAACATGCTTTATGGGCTAGTATGTGTTCTATTTTGGAGAAAGTTCCCTATGGTGCTCAGAAGAATGTGTATTCTGTTATTGTTGGGTAGAGTACTGTAGATGTCTGTTAAGTACACTTGTTTGAAGATATGGTTCGACTCTACTATTTCTCTGTTGATGTTTTTGTTCAAATTTGTCTTTTGCGATAGTGGAATATTGAGGTTTCCCATATGATTATTGTGCTGCTGTTTATCTGATCTTTTTATCCAGGAGTGTTTCTTTTACTGAATTTGGTCCAGTGGGTTTTGGTGTATATATACTTAAAATTGCTATCTCTTCCTTTTGAATTGCCCCCTTAACAAATAAATAGTAGCGTTCTTTGCTCTTTCTGATCAGTTTTGACTTGAAGTCCACTGGGTCTAAAAATAGAAAAACTATTCCTATTTGCTTTCAGGTTCCCAATGCATGGACTGTTGTTTCAGTACTTTGGTTTTTATTCTATAAATTTCTTTTTAGATTAAATATGTCTCGAGTACAGTACACTATCAGTTTTTATGATCCTATCTACTCAACCTGCATTTTTTTTTGAATGAGAAAAACAGATAAACAATGAAAACACATTTCAAAACAGGGTAGTAGTACAGTTATAATACTTGATACATTGTATATTGGTGTCTTATAGTAGTTATTCAGAGTACAGAACATGGGTATGATAATTTGTCAAAATCATATTGGCACAAAACATTCTTTTCAAGGAATAAACAAAAGCTAACTGTGTAACTACCTTAACTATCTTGTATATACATATATTTTTCCTTTTACCTATTTTTCTTTTCCCTATCACAGTTTGTCTTTTCTTTTAAACAGTTCCCAATTCACAGTATTTATTGTACATTTTTTTATTTTAAAAAGAAAAAACAGAAAAATAAAGATGCAAACAAACCTAAAAACAACAAGAAAAGCAAAATAACAACAACAAAAAATAACTATAGGTTTTCAAAACAAGATGATAGGAATGTAACAGTGGTTGTTATACTGCATGTTGTTATCTTCAAAATATTTGCTCAGGTTACCAGATACAGGGATAAAACAAAACAATAAAGTGGAATAAAACATTGGATTTCAAGACCAAGACAAAAGGAAATCCCCTCACAGTTGCCACAGTGTATGCTTCCATCCCCCAAATATATGCCCAGACCCTAGGTCTGCAACACCAATCAAACAACTCAAGCATCAAGCTATTCTTTTCACTTCAGTTGCTATCATCTTACCCTGAGTCCTCTGAATCAGCCAGTTGCTTACCACACGAGTGAGGTGGGGAGAGGGTGTGTGAGAGGGGTGTTATTCTGGTTTCGCAGCCCGTGCACCAACTGATTCAGGAAAGCATGCTTTGTCCTAAACCTGTGTCTTTTACTTGGGGTGTTAAGGCCATTTACACTGAGAGTTATTAAAGCTATTGACTCATTCCTGTCACTGTGTCTTTATTTTTCTCTTGCCGATTCCTTTATTTTTCCCCTTTGCTTAACTGCTCTCCTTGCTTGATATATTCATTCCATTAGACTTTTGGCATTATTGACTTTATTATCACGGTCTAGGTTATCCTTGAGAATTTTTTGGAGTAGTAGTTTAGTGGCCAAGAACTTTTTAAAGTATTTTGATCCACCAATTTTAAGTTTTAGTTTACTGATAAAGAAAACCATCATTCATTTTGTAACATTTTATATATAAGGTTTTGAAAGATCGTTGACTGGATCATTTTTACAAGTATCACAGTTAATAATTTCAGTACATTTTATCAGTACCTTGTAGGACAATAGAACTTTTTTTTTTTTTTTAAACAAACTCCAAAAATGTGGACTGGCTGCTGTTTTAGATAATTGTAAATTATAAGAACCACTTGTTCATATTTGGTTAACTTTGAAAAGTGAACAGGAATATTTTTCCTAGAATTTCCTTCACAGGGGGAATTCTAGGTATGGATAGTTTATTTTATTTAAATGGTTTTTGGGAGTCTTTGTGGTTGCTTATTATGAGTAGAGTCTTCAGTAGCTATAGGTTTTCTAAATTTTGAAGGTCTGAAAAGCACCACAAATAAATTCCTTAATTTCTCTATAAGGTTTTTTTGGTTTCACTTCTAAGCATTTGTGATTGGTATATGATATGTAATGGCAATTAACCCTATGACTTTTAAGTTTTTTCAGAACTTTAGATTCTTGTGTTTTCTTTACCAATTAGGATCTGCCCAATAACATGATCCATCAGGTACCAATCAAGTCACTCCCTCAAGAATGGCTTTGGTGTGAGACGTGGTGTGATGATGCCTCTAAGAAAAGAGCCAAGACCATTGATCTGGTGAGCTGTCCGTGGTTCTCTCCTGCATCCTTTTCCAATGTGCTGTGTGTCTGTTGACTTAATGACATGAGAGCTGTGTTTATTCTTCCTATGCAGCAGTACAGTTTAGAGACCGTGAAGGCTATACCTTCAGCAGTGTTCTGTTCCTGTGCAGGAAACCACCTCCACTAGGAACTGATGGGACTGTTTTCACTAGTCCCTATCTGCCGAGTCACTACTTGTCTCTCAGCTCACTTTTGTGCCTTGTAGTTTTTCCACTCTTTTTTTCCTTGCCACTGAATAGCTCCCCACAGTATCTTTCTAGAAGTAAATACAGGCCACTGTGTTCCCCGGCATGGTGGCTGTCCTCACACTTTAGGTGCACTTCTTTTCCTACTTTTATTGGGCCCAAACTCATTCTGCAGAGCCTGTTTCTTGTCCTGTGTTTAATAAAACTTCGCTACTGTTTGTTCTTGTCTTGACCAGTTCCATGCTCAGGGCAGAAAGAACTTAGAAACTAACTCCAAAAGGGGACTGTAGCACCCTAAATCTTGGTAACAAAACTACCAGGTACCTTAGTCTCACCAGCTGATACATTAGAGGAAGGTATAAATGCAGCTTTATATATCCTTTACCATATAGCTTCTGCTAATGTAACATTTAGTTCCTCAGTATTGCTGTTTTTGTCTAGTTTAGACCAGTAATCCAACAAACACCTTTGAGTTCTGTATAATGAACTCTTCCAACTCAGCTGATGTGTGTTCATTGGGTTTTCACAGTGTAATAATCCAATGACCAAAGAGCCTAAGCTGGAGGCTGCTGTGCGAATTGTCCCAGAGTGGCAGGACTACGATCAAGAGATCAAACAACTACAGATCCGTTTTCAGAAGGAGAAAGAAATGGGAATGCAGCATGAGAAGAAGACAGAAAAGCTGAGCCAGGAAGGCAAGTGCCAAAGTGTGGCTTTGGGAAAGTACTTCTTCATGTTTTTTTATTTCCGTTTGATGGGGAAACAGTGAAATAATGAATAAGAAGATAAGAAAAATCCGTCTGTTCCTTACACTGTGACATCAGTCAGTGTCTACCTTTCATGTTGTTTTCCAGTGGCCTTCTAATAGGTTACTAAGATAGTTTCTCAACTTTTTCGTTTTGTTGGAGGAAAAAAGGATGCTTTATTTATAATCATTTTTGTCTAAATTTATGAATTTTGTGATATCTAAGCCACTATGTGGGGGAGTTCTAGTCAGATTTCTTGAGTTTTATTTTCGTTTTTCTAATGAATGAACAAAACTTGCATTGAGACAAAGGATATATTGATTTGAAAAAAGTGTTCTTTGAAACAGGCATATTGGGATATGGGTGGAGTTTAATTTAGGGTAAGGATAGAAAAGACTTAAATCTTCCTATAATATTTTACAGAGTATATACCTTAAATGGTAGATGCTTGAAAACATTGGAATACACAGCATCTTTAACAGAAACTGTTAGTAAGCTGGGCTCAGGATTTTAAGATTTACTTTGCTTTCATTCTGAAAATACAAGGGCAGAACATGGGTCATTTCTAATGTGCAGCACAAAGACTACTATGTGGCAAGATGATGTAATCATTGTTAAAGGGATTCATTACAGTAATTAATATCAGCATTCTGGGAGCCTGAGGCAGGAGAATTTCAAGTTTGAAGCTAGCCTAGGCAAGACTGCCTCAAAATAAAATTAAATAAGATTAAATTTTAAGAAATAGACTGTAAGAAGTAGCTCAGTGTGAAGGCCCTGAGTTCAGTCTTTAATATGAAAAAACCCAACTAACTGAAAATACTACACATTTACTGAACGTTATTGTACAAATTATTTTGTTGGAATGAAGTTTGCAGGTAGTTTCAATGTTTTTTAATTTGTAATAATTTTTTCCTTCCAAAATTTTCCTTTTATTAGTACATGTTTGCAATACATAATGACTGCATTCATCATGTACATGGATACAACACACCTTAGTTCTTTTGATGTCCCTTGCATCCCTCTCCCTTCTTTCCATCTTTTGGGCTTACTTGAGCTTGCTCGCTCGCTTGCTTGCTTTCTCAAAGTTTCACATTTATTAAAGGTAGGAAAAAAAAAAACAAAAGGAAAGGTAGGGAAAAACTTTGCTCTGCAAAGTGAGCTTGGGCCAGGGAAAAGTAGCAAAAAGAAAATATACCCTACAGCATAGGGCAGGCTACCATAAGAGAAAAGGTAGCCTTAAGAGTTTCATGTTTTGAAAAATGTCCTCTATTTTGTTTTGCTTTTAAAATTTAATTCAGAAACACCAAACCCAGCTTCTAAAATGTAAAAAGGGAGACAAAATGAAGGTATTGTCACATATCCACTCCATGTTTTTATGATTTGAGGATAATCAAGTTTTCCATTGTTCTTTTCACAGCATCTCAGGCACGAGAGGAATTATGATCTCTGGAAGAAGATTAAAAAACGGCACATTTGAGAACAGTTTTTATACTAAATGCTAGTTTTTCTGATCTGTCTATACAACTGCTGATAAACTCACTGGACAGGTATGCTGGCGGTCTCCACACCGAGCATCTGATTTCAGCTTCTGCACACCAGTGGGTGCTGGATCCTCAGGGCCAGGGCTCCACTGGATTTGTACCTCAGAAGAAGACAAGAGACTGACCTTTAGGGATTCTGAAAAGAGCAGTCTTGTCACCAGAGGAAGAAATGGTGGCGGCAGGAAGATGAGGCCTTGGGAGCCCACATCCAAGAGCACACACATGCTGCATTGTCCTAGGAAGGAAGCTAGTAGAGCTGCCATGTTCTTCCTTACCTCAGTTTACCTGATGCTCAGGCCGTACCTCAGATGTCTACCCAGTGTGGGTCAGGCCGGCAGAAGCTTTGTCTGAGGTCCACACACCTGGAAATTTATGCCAACACATCCCCTACCTCCTCATGTCTCTTCCCAAGTGCGAGATTCATTGTTTAAACCAAACCAGCAGTTGTATATCTTCAGGGTTAGCTCACCACAGTCGCTAAGCAGATTAATTTGGGGGCAGATGGGAATGGTTGGTTTTGGTGTGGGTGGGGAAGATAGACATAGGAGGACTCTGAGGTGCTGGGGAAGGAAGATTAGAATGTGCTGGTTTTCTTTTATATTCCTTCATTACCATTATGGCTAATTTAAAGTGAAAACCATATTATCCACCCATCCTGGTGAGCTTTCTTTCTTAGGTAATTGTTTTGTAGACAGTTTTTGTGATTTTTCTTTCCACTTTATTTTTTTAAAAAAAAAGATGGCTGTCAGTCATTCCCCAACTGGACAGAACCATATGAAACCCCCAGTGATACATCTCAGAAGGCTTGGGCTCCCTCCAGGTGTCACCTCACCGTTTGCCCTTTCCTCTGTACTGTTTTCTCTCAGACTCAGAGATAGATGGCCTGATTTTTCTCAACACAGTGTTCCCAGCTTGAAGGCCAGGAAGGATTCTCACTGTGGACTCACACCATTCTGTACAGTGGCTTCGTTCCTTTTGTTTCAGCTCTGTGATGGCCTTTTGCTTGCAGAAATCAGTAGAGTTCACATCAGTTCTGTCATGTCGTAGTTGCACTGCCAGCCCCTAGCACTAGATTGCACCTTTCCTTCCTTAGCCCAGCACTGGTCCTGTGGGAGGAGGCTTGGATAATGAGTGGGGGAGGACCCATGGGCATGTCATTGACCTATCAGGCTGCAGGTTCAGCAGGGCAAGCACTGCACCTGCCTTCCTTTCGCCTGGACTTGTTCTTCCAATGGTCTGGTTTTTAAAAACTGAAAGGTGGTGGAGAGCTCAGTAAAATAGTGCTTGCTAGCATAAGAAGGCCTTAGGTTTTATCTCTACTTCCACATAAAACAGAAAAATTGGAGGAGTTGGTGGGAGTGGATAGGTAATTTCTTACTCTTCTAAGCCATTGATGTGTGCGGTGTTTTTAAAACCACCATCCTACTCTAGATGTCTGTAATTTATTTTTCCATTTTCAAATGCAAAAGTTAGCTTAGGAACCTCACAGTCTAAAGGAGTTTTTTGTTGTTGTTTTGTGGTGGTTTGGTTTTGGCTCTTGGTTGTCCAGCCAGGGTCTTCCTACGTAGCCTGAAGCTGACCTCAGCCTCGAGGCCTCCCAAGTGCGGGAGTTACAAGCATGTGCCACCACGTCTGGCTCAGAAGGACCATGGCATGTTTTCTTCCTACCCGACCCTAATCTGAGTCAAATAACTGAAGAGTTAAGATCGTGACATCAAGAAGCTTGTTGAGACTTCATCTTGACATTTAATTGAGCTTTCAGAGAGGCTGTCTCAGCTGCTGTGCACAGCTAAAGTCAGCAGTGTACAGTTCCGGTGCACTGTGGGAGGTGATCGGGAAGTACCCCAGTTAAAGTGGGATATACTTGCAAATGCTGATTCCAGTAGCCAGCTTTCCTCTGTCTTTCTGCCAACCCTCATGAGTATTCTACATATAAGGAAAGTTCATAGCAAAATATACATATTCGCTCTGGGGTATGTCCTAGTGTCACTCATGGTCTGTGTCTGTCACCTCCCTGACATAAGCCTTATTGGTAGTTGACAGTGAATAATGAAAGCTTGTTTCTGAGGAGGTCCAGGCCCCTACTCCTGCCAGTCTTTTTCTCTGTTTTGTGTGGCATAATTCCCTTTCCAAATTAACTAGTGCCCAGGAAATGAGTTACCATTCCAGTGTGGTCCTAGTCACTCTGCTGAGTCTGCTTTGAGAATGTACACTATGGTGGAAACAGGTAATAGATTACTTTCCCCAGAAGCAAGAACCCATAGATCTGAAAGTTCAAGCTTCTGGAAGCTATCAGTACATTGTTCTTAACCAACATTTGTGTGTAATGGGTTTTTGTTTTTTTCTGTCATCATACCATAGTGGGAAATTTCCTTTCTGGGTCAGCAAAGTGATACAAAGTCAGAACATACAGTTCTGTGTTTGAGATCAGAACCCATCCAGCCTGCCTCTGGGGGATGCCGTGGTCAGGGTCTCCCTGCACTGCTGCATCGCCGCTGCCCCCCCCACCCCCTCCCCCGCCGCCCTTTAGTTAAAGTGTACTGAGTACTTAACACATTGAGAGTGAGAGCGTATTGATTTTCTGTAAGGTTGGTGAGATGAAGAATCTGTCAAAAGATACATTTCAAATGGAGCACTCAGAGGTTGTATATAGTGCACAGGCCTCAGCAGCCTAGGCGTCAGCTGAGTTCAACTCTTGGGAGAATGTAGATGACATATAAGGTATATTAAGACAGTTTCTGTAAAAGGAGCTTAATTATCTCTGCTTTTCCTCCATCTTCATGTTCTGAACCTTTCTAAGGCTCTGCCTGAACAAACAACTTTTCTGGAGGGCTTTGAGCTAGAGAGGGGAATGCAGTGTTTAAAAGAGACTAGCCCAGGTGACAGGAGTGGAGGGGATTGTAAGTTTCCTTGGTTGGGAAGTATACTTTACTGACACCTTAATGTGTGGCAGGTCAGATACCACTCACACAACAGAAAAGTGACTCCTCACTTCCTCCACAAGTACCCTTAGATCCGTGAAAGCAGTCGTTTTTTAAAACTTGCCATTCCAAATTTAACCTGAACAAGTAAGAGAAATAATTCAAGAGTTACTAGGGAACTCCCACCCATTTTTCCTGGATAGAATTTCATTGAGATGGAAACTGGTAACAGAAGTGGAAGGTGAATAAAAATTGGAGGGTGAATTATGTACAGAGTTATTTAAATATGAATAACATTGTATGATTTTAATAATTAGCTTAAGTACTTGATATTATAGGAGCATTCTCTGGCAATGATCAGATGCTTAGTTTGGTAGAGTAACAGTATTTAAATTCCGGTTTTCTCTGCCTTAATGTAGTGAAGGAAGGATCATAATCAGGACTTTGTTCGTCATCTGGTTGAGTTCATGATCAGGTCAGGTCACAGCTGAGATTTCAGAGGATGTGGTGGGTGCCCCTTTCTCATTATTCGCTGTTTTATTTCTCTGTGAATCAGAAACAGTGCTTCTGAACTGTACGGCACAGCGAGTCATGCAGAGGATTTCGCTCTCTCTGGTGTCTTTGGGTGCTGACAGTTTGCAGAAATAAACCAGAATCAGCTGTGAGAAGCTGCTCCTGAGAAGCAGTCAGTAAAGTGCAGCCCACCCCCCCACCCCCAGCTTTCCCAGCTCCCCAGTGCTGCAGAGCACCTGTGGACGGGTGAGTGGGTCACGTGGGGCAGAGCCAGGCCTTCCTCTGCCTGTGCTTGGCATTGCCTTACTGTCACTATTTGGAGTTGCAGAGGAACTCTAGCAACAACCAAAAGCAAAACACATTAGCCTAATATTGATGACTTGGAGCAAAGGGTTATCCAGCACTGTACCATATTTTCCAGTCAGTTAACACAGAGATAAGGAAAACAAAGGAAAATGAAGACAAAGCGTAGGACTGTCAAAGAAATTATGTAGTTTTAACAGTCTTCATTGACTTTACTGTAATTCCGTCCCCTTACATGCAGCAATGTAATGTGTTCGGGTGCTGCCCTGTGCTCGGGAACAGCATTGAGGTTTTCAATGTCTACAGGATCTGTGTATCAAAGGGAATTGAGAAAGAATTTCTAGTACTGTAATGAAAATAAGGTCTGCTCAACACAATAAACTTTTTCCTCTTTTCTTTAAATCTGACTGGTCAGTCATTTAACCTTTTGTTTGTTTTTTGAGACAGAGTCTCTATATAGTTCAGGCTGGCCTTGAGCTCACAGCAGTCCTCCTGCCTCAACCTCCTGAGTGCTGAGATGACAGGTATACACTGCCACGCCCAGCTTTCATTCAACTTCTATGCCTAGGAAGAGCAGATTGATAGAGCACATCCATCTCCTTCATGTGTCAGAAATCAAAAACCCTGACAGTGAAAGGTTTTATCTGAAGCCTTGCCTGACTTTGGAAGTGAACACTGAGGGCAGTCAACCTCCAGCCTCCAGAGTAAGCTGGCCCCCGTGAGCCTGTGTTCTTGGCCAGCTGGTATGGTGTATGCATCCTACCACACTGCCAGCCCCGGCGCTGGGCGCTCTGAAAATGGAAGGTAAGGTTCCGGCTGTGGTTGGTGCGCATTGCAGCCTAGAGCAGTGAGTGTCCTCTGAAAGGGAGGTCACTGCCAGAGCACCCTGGGACACTTAAGGTGGAGAGAGGGATTCGAGGGGCCAGAAGGGCTGCTGCAGGGAGCTACAGGTGAAGCCTGCACAGTCAGCAGAGGACCATGGTGTGGGGGGCACACTGAGGGGCTGCAGGTGGACCTGCTGGCCAGTCATAGCCTCTCACAGAGTCGAGAGGATAAGTTCAGTCTGAGCATATGAGCCAAGTGCAGACATCATATGAGGGTGCTTCTCACAGTGTAATGTGCGCACAGAAGTACACAGATGAACTGTCACAGTAAAAGGACTTATGTAATCATCACCAAGGTAAAAGTAAAAGAAAGTTGAATTTACTCAACTAGCATTTAGTTAGAGCTGGGCATGGTAGTGGGTGGGACAGGAGGATCACCACAAATTCAAATTCAGCCTAGGATCCATGCTGTGTTTCCAAAAATGAGACCTCAAGTGGAATGACCCAGCCAGCGGTCTGCCTGTCGTTAGTACAGTGACGACCAGCGTCATACAGGTGGTTCCTCTCTGTTCCTTTGCTCAGTGGCCACTCTGTAATAGCAAGAAAGGCAAGAACAGGCTGACTGGAGCTGGCATTTTTAATCTTCAGTTAGATCTTATTTCAGAGAAATGTGACTTCAACCTGAACTGCATAGGAGACCCTGCCTCCAAATAAATGTTAAAAAGATACATATAGATAGGGCATTTAGTTCATTATCATCTGGCTTCCAGTAATGGCACAGCAGTTTATATCAGTTAATCTACTGGAACTGACCAGAGACAAGTAAGGACTCCGCCATCAGAAGAGAAACATCTTGGGTCTGATCCTCACTTCGGTGCTCGTTCCTCTTGGGGCCCTTGAATAAAACAGTACAGGTTGAGCTGAGTAGCTGGAGTGGAGGAATGTAAGTTTCAGAGAGGAAGCTACAGGTTTGCACACTGCCCTCAGTTTCTCGGCTGACTCCTGTAAGACTGCACACAGTGGGGATTCCAAGATGCCCTGGGGACTGGAAAAGCTGAGCAAAAGCATTCAGCAGACCGGGTATGGAGAAGGCCAAGCTTGGGGTTCTGTGTTCCAGCAAGCTGGAGGACTTGATAAATACTTCAGGCTTTTCGCTGAAAACCTAGAAAAGCAGGCTCTTAAGATTAAAGAAAAAAGATTGGGGTTAATAATAGTACACCTGGGGCTACTGACCCTGACCTTTGTGCTACTGCCTACCAGGAGTCTGAGATTAGAAAACAAAGACCCAAAGTCCACCCTAGAAAATTTCATAAGCCCACACCAGGAGGCATAGTCCCAGTCCTGCATGATCCGTGGTAACCTTTCAGCTCATCGAGGATTCATGCAAATAGAATGCATCTCCAACACCCCATTATAACCAAGTCTTGGGAAAGGACACAGCTGATAAGACTCAGCACCCCATCAAGCATGTTGTCAGTCATGCTCTGGAAGACCCATGGGAGGTGACCTGGATCCTAAAGCCTATGCGACATTTGAAATTCTTAAGCCCAACACCCTCAGAGCCTTCTCCCCTGAATGTCCTGTCTCCTAATTAAACTTTGCTGCCATTTCCTTACTGTTCCATGCCATGTCCATTCCTTTGTTCATCATGAAGAACCTAGCAACCTGTCTGGGCCCCCCATCACATCACTACAGGACTACACCCCAGAACCCAAGTCTAAACCTAGGGAGACGCCAAAAACTAAATCTATCCTAGAAAGACTAAGATCAAGATTGAAACTTCCAGATGATCCGCCAGAAACTGCCCACTTCAGACTTCTCATGGAAAAGATAATCTAAAAATATATTATTATATATTTAGATATATTATTCACAACATATGATCTTAAATCAGTAGACATAAAAAGTAAGAATATATGACATTCAGCCAAAAGGAGAGAAAAAATCCACAATCAAGACATTGAAATTATTAAATAAATTTTTAAAATAACAAATACAGGCTGAGTATTTAGGTCAGTGGTACAACACCTGCCTGGCAAGTGTGAGGTCATGAGTTCAATCTTCAGGACCTGAACAAAATTAGGAAATCTTAGGCTTCAATTTCTGAATACATTTATTAGGCTTTAGTATCTCCATCTTTTGTCTTTTTTAAGATATTTAATTGACAAACATGGTATACAAGGTGTTCAACCCCTATATGTATCGTCTGGTCACGCACCAGTTAATACACCCATCACCACCTACACTGTACAGTAGATCCCCACAGCCAGTTCTTACAGTTTGTGTCCTTTGAGCAACACCCCTCATTATCCTGGCTACACCCCCAGAGACACACAGAAGCTCCTGTTTAAAATAAGTTATTCCAGAAAGGAAAAAAGGTATAGGGGCTAGGGATTTAGCTCAGCAGCATAAGCACCAGCCTGGCAAGCTCAAGGTCATGAGTTTGATCCGCAGCACCAAAGGAAAAAAAAAAAAGGTAAGGTTTGCACCTTGTTACAGCGGCAAACATATTTACATGAGTGTGATTTAGTCACATTGCTACTCTGTCTGCGAATGACTGTCATACCAAAACACATCAGTCCCTGACTTACAAACAAGTTCCGCTCCAGGAGAACGTTCATAAATCAAATTTGTAACCCAATGTGAGTCTTACACACCTGTGAATCTTACAGGTCCACGTAGGAAGAAGACTCACAACTCAGATATTTGTAAGTATGCAATATTCTGTCCCGCGAACTGTCTTACACAGCAGAAAGGTATTTTTTCATATAGCTGAATCTGAAGGTCCAAGATCGGGATGGGCACTGTCTTCCTTAAGGGATCCCTCCTTGGCTTGAAGACAGCCTCCTTTCCACTGGTCTTGTGGGGGTGTTCTCCGTGTGTTCTCCCCGGGTACCTCCTCCTCTTCTCGAGAGGTCATCTATTGCATTAGGGCCCCATCCTTATAACCTCTTCTAACCTTGACTGCCTCTTTAAAAACTCTATCTTGGTGCACCTATGGGGAGTTTGTACTTCAGCATATTTGGGGAAATTATTCTGGTCTCTGTTAGGATCTCCATCATACAGGAGATGATGCTGCAGGGAGCTGATCCTCCACTACTGTACTAGATACTGGGGATGGCAATGTAGGAATATATTATCAAAAAACTAAGAAAATACTGGAAAGGTGGGTATGATGGTGCACACCTGTAGCCCCAGCACTTGGGAGGCTGAGGTTGGAGAATCACCATGAGGGCCAGCCTGGGCTACATAGCAAGTTCAAGATCAGTCTACACTACATAGTGAGACCCTGTCTCAAAAAATCCAAGAAAAGAAAATACTAGAAAGAGTTAAAGTCAGATGTGGTGCAAGGCAGCAGGTGAGGCAGGGCTCGAAGGTGCAGGACTGGCTAATTTGAATTATTTCAGCACCTTTGGGGCACAAGAGCTGTCCCTGGCTGTTGTGGCCCTGGCCCTGGGTGACCAGGGTGATGGAGGGAAGGAGGCCAGGACAGAGTGGCGGAGGGTATGGGCTTCACTGGCCACAAGCTGGGCCCTGGCAGCTTTTAGAAAATACAAACAACTACCAAAAACAAACCTTATTACCTGTGTAGTTACTGAGGCTCTTGACTCATGAGGTGACATTTCTAATGCAACTTATTAAGAGTTTGACTGTCTTTGAAGAAAAACAGACATTATGACATCCATTGCTGATTCTGTATTATCATGCTGTGAAATGCAGCAATGCTTCTATTCTTTGTTCAGAATGGTTTTAGTCTGTTTTGTATGGTTTAATTTCAACATACATGAAGGTATGGACAGCTATTTTGAAGCGACATTATGGCAGCCATTGTTGATTTTCCTATTGTCTGGTTGTGCAGGCCTGTAATGCCTCCATTACTCTATTCTGATCAGTTTTATTGCCATTTTGTTTTGTATGAATTCATGGTGTGTGAAGATATAGACAACTATTTAGAAGAAAACAAGAGACATTATGGTAGCCACTGGAGATCTCCTGTTGTCTTGCTTTGAAGTCTGGGTCACTTACGTTGTTTTCTCCTGATCTGCTTTGTTCTGTTTTGTTATGTTTAGTTTTATCCTTTTTAAAATTAAAAAAAATTTTTTTGACTGTATTTCTCCACATTACTTTTCCTGTCTGCTGTTTCTTCCTGGGATGCCAGTCGTATATTTGTAATACTGCCTTACAAGTTACTGAGTCTCTCTGTTCATTGATTTTTTTTTTTAGTCTTTTCTTAATTTGGATCATTTCTAGTAACTTATCTCTAAATTCACTGCTTTTTTTCCTCTGCAGTGTTTCATCTTTTAAACCCACTCATGAACTTAGCTGCTTTAAAAAATTCCATCTAAAAAGCCTCATCTTCCTGTAATGATCTGATTAGTTCTATAATATGCAGTATACATTCACTGTGTGTGAAGATGGGCCAACTATTTGGAAGAAAACTAGAGACAATAAGATAGACAGTGAAGATCTCCATTGGACTTGCTTTGAAATCTGTATTTTTTTAAATTGTTTCCTTATGAACTGTTCTGTTCTGTTTTGATATGTTTAATCTTACCCTCTTTAAGATAAAAAACAAGT